AACATTCGGCGAAATATCTAGGGAAAGGTTTAAGGACGTACGTAAATTTTCCCAAAAAAGTAAAACAGAATTTTCAGGTCTGTAGGCCGAACCAATAACCAATACAAACTTTGGTAGAGTGATTTTCAACCAAATAATCTCATCACCTGGGCATTTTAATTCCAGTAAACGGTCAACTTTTAAAATATTATTGATATAAACCAGAACACCATCACCAGCAAAATGTCTATAAAGTCGAAAAGGTACATGAAAACCAGTTATAAGTAAGTCATCTGTAAAGAACTGATCATCTAAATGAGTTTCTGTTAAGCATATAATATCATATTCACCAGATATAGCCTTATGTCGTCCATTTTATATCCATATTGTCAGTGTGTTTCACTGGTGGCTGAGTTTCTTGTACAAATCATATTTCATAATTGTAACATACAAATGAATTGGGAAATTATGTTCTTGTACGATAAGACGTATATTTCATTTTTATTGATACAAATATTTATTTGCTTTACAGAGCTGTTGCTTGTTTGTAATGACAAGGTAATGACACATCCACCACATTGTCTAAAAGGTGCTGTCCAAAAAACAACTACCGGATGTACTCCAACTTCTTCCGGTTCCGGTTTTACCAGGTACACATGTCGTTATGTATTTAAGTCCAACAGATGTCATGAAAATCAACTCAAGCTAAAATGTAGTGTACTTGAACGTTTACAATCACAGGCGTCACACAAGGCTTCAAAGGAGATTGAGCGTGTAAGAACGATGTCTACGGAGGCGGGTTACGACAGACAAGGCGTTGGGACGTTCACGTCAAGCCCCTTTACGAGTATGAATTATGACTCCATGTCAAATTGGCGTTTGACTCCAATTTTACCCGTGTCACTAACTTCTTCGGAAACTCTTAAAAAAGTTCAAATTCCTGACAACACAGAAGGATCTGGGAGTAGTTTGTTTCTCACTAGTGGGTATCGACCTGTTTCGGCTATTGCATATGGCGAAGGACGTTTCCGGTCAAAAACGTTTAGACCAAAGACAGCAGACACTATTAGACTGTTTCCAAACAAAAGATTTGATGGGAATAGACAAAGGCCAAAGTCTGCAAAATGGGTTCATGGTCAAGCGTCTAATAAAAATATGTATAATAGACCAAGAACTGCTACGGTATGCAGTGTTCAAAAATGGTTACTTTAGTGTGAGATATGTTGGTGGAATGGCAACTTCCGTTTTTTTCACAAGACATTTTGTATCCTCTTAATTGATGTAAACTTAATCAATAAACAAGTTCATTAATGTAAAATAAACAATAAATATGTACCACCTCAGCAATTCACAATTGGATTTTTTCAGCAATTAATCAAATCGTATTTATTTTCTGGTGATGATATACAAAATGTCTTATCAAATCAATCGACTGATCGTTTAACACACAACTGTTTATGACACGGATATGTATCACATACAAAGATATGACATGGCATATGACGTCTTCAAGAGATTACTGTATTTGAAAAGATGTTGATTTTTTATAGCTATTATCATAGAATAATCTAACCTGCTTGTAACAAGCATTTTAATTGGCTTAAAAATTTATGTTATCAGCCCATAACGTTAACAAAATGACGTCGCTGTTTGTAAAGTCGCTTTTGAATGGCTGATACAGCGGCGTAATCATTTCTAAGAGAAAAGAGTCCATCAATAAAGGTGGATTTCCACAGGGATTGTGTATAGTAGATTGAATTATAAGGATTAACTTGAATATATTTTTTATGTTATGGAGCTATATCGCGGTTTATTTAGAGTACACTCCGGTTTTTTGTGTTATATCTCCATAATATGAAAAATGCATTCAAATTAATCCTTAAATATTTCACTGACTAAACTATTTTCATCAGACTGTTTATATTTATAATACAATGAAATCACGACTATAAGTGTCATATCAGTAGAAATGAGTTATACACCAGCTCTTCAATACCCAATAAAAAAAGGATCTGTTTCATTTTTGCGAAAAGACAATAAAAGTAAACGACGCCGTAACAAATGCAAAAGGAAGTAATTTGGAACCTTACTGCTATCACAACCCTCACAGAAATCTGAAGGCGGAACGAGGTGCTCTATTCTTAATTAATGTTTATGTCAATTAAGGTTTTTGTGGAAGTATACTAGTTGAAATCGGTATCGATTCTTCATTAAGATTGCCATTTATTTTCAAAGACATTACGATAATTATGTTTCCATTACCTGGTATGCATAGTTGAGTTTGGATATGATTTGTAAAAACATGAATGTGCACATGGCTTGGTTCCAAGTAATGTTACAGTATCAACATGCTTATTGAAGAAATAAGACTTAGTTTACTACGTATTGAATTAAGAGCGTGATAATTATTATTTGATGATGTTGATATATAAGCAAAAGATTTGTGAAAGTGACTTCATCCCAATAACATCTCCAATAGAGCTTAGAGACTGAGATATATAACGGGTAAGTTAGTAAAATACTTACAGCTTAAACAGGGATTTACGGACTCCCTTTGTGTCTACTCACAACCAATGTGTTATTATTTTGGGCAAGAGTTTGATTTCTCCGAAAGTATGACTATATAAGAAGTATTTAATAAAAGAAAATTACATCCTATAGCAAGTATGTACAGAGGGATAAAAGATATACAGTGACAAGGATATAGTGGGCGCAACTTTAACGTCCGGTTTTTACAAGTTATTCATAAAATTATCACTTCAGTTTAGAGAAAATATGAAGCAATTACGCCAAAAAAAAAAAATAAAGTAGGAGGTAAATGAGTAATTTTGATGGTTTTTGAATTGTTTTGTAAGAGTTCGTAAAAGTATAAGAGTGCGGATGTTGAGCAGTAACCGAGTAAAGTGTTTGTAATGACAGTGCTTTTTTCCAATGAATATGCATTAAACAAATGTAATGCACTAGTGCTTGTGAATGCTATTGCCTAACTGGATACATTTGCTTACATTAGAAAATTTAACACCAAATGTTCTTTTCTTAAAGTATGTTGGATATATGTGTGAATAAGGACGTGGGTTAAAAAACACAAAAGAATATTTGTCAAATATCCGTGTAGCTTTGATAGCCAGATTATTCTCTCTTGAGTAGTGATATGGTTCATTATATACCCACTTTATTCGTTAGTAATTGTAACTAACCAGTACCCTGCTAATTAACTAGTACTCTGCTTATTAACCAGTACTCTGCTCATTAACCAGTACCCTGCTAATTAACTAGTACTCTGCTTATTAACCTGTACTCTGCTCATTAATCAGTACTCTGCTCATTAACCAGTATTCTACTCATTAACCAGTATTCTGCTCATTAACCAGTACTCTGCTAATTAACCAGTACTCTGCTTATTAATCAGTACTCTGCTCATTAACCAGTACTCTGCTAATTAACCAGTACTCTGCTAGCTATTGTTCATGTAGTTAAACCGTTTTATGCACCTCCCCTTCTGATTCAACAGTAGTTATATAATTAAGACTGGTTTTGAGTTCCGCCATTTTGGCCCCTAGCATCACTGACAAGTCCTAGAAAGACAAAACATCTGTATGGTGCAGTGTAATTCATCTCTGGAACACTGAATCTGTACTGTATTTATTGATGTTGTTACGTGTGTTTCTTACGTCCATCATTTAAACAAAGATGTATTATATTATTATTAAATATCAAAAAAGTTGCCAGTGGAAACAAGGAATTGAAGAAGCAAACGACTTTTAAAACTGCTGTCTATAAGAGTATTAATTTATCAACTTTACTTATGTATATGTCGTCTATAAAAAATAAAGGATCTCCTTGGCAAGTCCTTTACAAATAACTGGTACTTTTAAAAAAGAATCTAAACGATGTTTTTTTTTAATGATATGACAAATAATGAACATTTATCTTTTGAAATATGAAGATGTATCATTTTGAGGAAAACTGATTGACACTTTTCAAAAAGAAGATAAATAAGGTTTGTTTTAAAGGTATGACAAATTATGAACATTAATCTTTTGAAATATGAAGATATATTTGCTTGAGGAAAACTGACAGTTTAAAAAAAATAATATAAATGATGTTTGTTTTAATGATTAATAATGACCATTAATATTTTGTAATATAAAGATATATTTCTCTGAGGAAACAAACTGACACTTTAAAAAAAGAATATAAATGAGGTTTATTTTAAAGGTATGCCTAATTATGAACATTAATCTTTTAAGGATGAACGCAACTTTCGAATTTGATAATAGATATAGTATGTCAAAAATGAATATCCTTCACCATACGGATGTTTTGTACTTCTAAGACTCGTCAGTGATGCTTGAGGACAAAAAGGTTGAAATCCAAATTGGTATATACTACTGTAGAAACAGAGGTGTGTAAAAAACCTTAATTCATGAATTTTTAATTCAGAGATGTATTGGTTGATATGAAGAGAAAAGTGTTTGAGGAACAGAATAACAACAGTACATGTACATTTTACAAACATATATTGTATTGATGTGTTCAAAAGAAATGCGTAAGATAAACCAAGACGACTTTCTTTTGTTGTTTCTAGATTATAAAGTCTATGCAAAGAAAATCAAACATTGCGACCAAATCGTATGACTGACATGTTTAGATTAAACCGGGGTTTCTTCAAACTTTCAGGTATTATAAAATTATATACATTGTAATAAATCAGTTTGAATACTTTGTGGTTCTTGATTGAAGAGTGTTTCGTTCAAAACTGTTCAATGCTGTTCCATTAAATATTTAATTGTTTCTCTTATAATTGACGGTCATTTTTATCATTTTACCACTGTCGTAGGAGCACACATTTAAACTATACACATTTAACCGACATCAGACCCCCCCAGGAAATGCTTTGTCATCAGGTGTTCCTAAGTACTTACCACTACACACATACTCACGCCTAAGGTCGCCAACAATAGCCTATCATAAGACGTGACTGTGGTCACAAGTTCATCGTATTAAGGAGTATCAAATTAATCACATATGACGTAAATCACGGACGGATATTTTCGGAAATGGCTTAATCATTTTTCGTGACGTTAAACTTGGAATAGAAAACGGCATTTGAACTGATAGGATGATTTCAACGTGCATGCGAATGTCAGAACACTGAGGTGTTGAGACGACACGAGCGATGTCTGTGTTTGGTCTACACATGTGTGAGAGATATCAACATAATCATCTTCATGTTTCATTGCTAGTGTGACCATCAGTATTGAGATAGTGAAGATATTGCTCGAGTGAATTTGCCAGAGTTCAAGAAAAGTTGAAGAATACACCAAATACTTTCTCTAGATGAAAGACATTGAATCATAGGTAGTGGTTTCCTTAGATTGAAAACTTCTTACTATACCCTGTGATTTCATAAGGTTGATATTTTATCTAGCGCATTCTTGAGATCGAAAACATCATGAATATTTCCAGAGATTTATCGTCGACCTATTTGTTGGAAGAAAACTGGGAAGACTTCGTTTCCAATGGGATTCCTTGTATAGTAATCTTGTCCCTGATCGCCTTAGTCGGGACAGTTGGAAATTTGATTACATGTTTTGTATCGTTTTTCCGGAAACATTCCACCACGCACCAGACGCTAGTCATGTTCTTGGCCGCTGTAGATCTGTGTTCTTGCATAATAAGCATTCCTTTGGCAGCCTTATGGATACGCTTCCCATTCACCTATACGTCATCAGAAGTGTGTAAACTTTCTCGATATTTCTCCATTTTTCTTTCGACATGTTCTTATGTCGTTTTGGATATTATTGCTATAGAACGCTATGGAAAGGTTGTTTGGAAACCTGAAAAGCAACTGACCCCAAAACAGGCAAAGATTATCTGTGTTTCGGCATACATAGCCTGCGGTGTGTTCGTAGCCATTCCAGCGTTATTCGTCTACGGTATAAGTGAACGAACAACGTCGAAGCGACACATTACCGGTTACGAGTGTTCTGTCACAACGGAGAGCAGAGGAACGACCTTTCTAAAGGCTTATCTTTCCTTTGGTGTCTTGTTAGTACTGCTTTTGTTTGGATGTTGTTTTATAACCTATGGACTGATTGGGAGACGTTTTATCCTTCTGTCTCGTTCACGCAATTTAAAAACTTCCGAATCATATCAAAAATCAATCATGAGAAAGAGTGATCCAGCATCAGCAGTTTCAAGTAATGTTTCCGTTTCTTTTAACGAATCTGAAAAATATAACCACTCTCGATATTCCGACACTGCTCAAGTAGGCACTGTATCTATCCCTGAAATCGTGATAACAGATGTTGACAATGAACTTTCAACAAAACTGTATATGGGTGTCAACAATAACGACACGCAAAACCACGAGACATGCCACTGTAAGTCAAAAGTGCGAAGTAGTATACAAAGCCAGCAGCACTCTTCAAATCCAAGTCATGAGGCCAAAGATACGGCTGATGTAATAGTATCTGAAACGAAAGAATCTACTAACTTTCCGGCCAATGTATTAAACAACCAACCAAGACAAAAATCATCAGAAATCACATTTCCACCGTCGAATGACATTTCTACCGTCAACGTTAATCTTCTAACGTGTGGCGTCTGCAGTTTTGACAACAGAAAACGAACTGTAAAATTCAGCACAGACATTAAAGTCAAAACAGTAGAGGACCAATCCCGAGGGTTTAAAGACACGGTTGTACTGGTAGAGAGGTCAAGAAAACCGAAATCTCAAAATGTCACAAACAACGGAAAATTGGGGAAGAAAATTTTACGAGGAAAACAAATCACATTCATGTTTTTCATTTTATCACTGATTTCGATTTTATCGTATTTACCATATTTTGTTATTTTGCTTATACGGAACATGGACTGGACAATGTATGAGGACATCAAGTCCACTCTTGGTCCCTGGGAGGCAGTCATGTGGAGCTTTGTTTACATCAACAATGCAATCAATCCTGTATTTTACGGTTTCATGGATAGCTCGTTCCGTAAAGACTGTAAAATGTTCATCGAACAGGTGAAATATTACGTGTTTTGATTTCAATTTGTGTTATAAATAATATTATTATATACTTGTCTGTGATATGGAAATTGTTCGTATTTAATGTGTGATACTGTAAGTAAGGCATAGGCAATATCCGCCCGGCACGCACCATATTCGTCCGGCATGCACCATATCCACTCGGCACACACCATATCCGTCCGGCATGCACCATATCTACCCGGCACACACCATATCGGGGCCGCGGTGGCAAGGTTTTAAAGGCGTTTGATATTCTGCTACCACTACCATCCACCACTGGGTCGCGGGTTCGAGACTTAAGTGGAGCAGTCGCCAGGTACTGGCCGTAGGTCGGTGGTTTTTCTCCGGGAACTCCGGCTTTCCTCCACCAATAAAACCTGGCACGTCCTTAAATGATCATAGCTGTTAATAGGACGTTCACACAAACAAACCAAACCAAACCATATCTGTTTCAGTTCCGGTTCAACGCTTTTCATCACGTCCCCTTTACATTCGTCTACTTATAAGGATGCTGTAAGTGAGTATCAACAATATGTAGTATATGATATACATGGTATAGTTTCGCCATTTTATGTCCTCAATCTTAACAGCCCTTGACCAAAATCAGAACTCGGCCGTCCGGCCACTCGGGCTGATATTGATGTTGCTGGTTATTACTGGGCAAGATGTGGAAATGGTCATCAGATAACCTTAAATAAATGAGAACATCGCATGAAATGACATTTTTGCCTTAGATAAATCAGTTCACCAACTGTCAGGATATTGTGACCGATTGAGTAGCAAAGGTTCAGTTTTCTTGGTTTGATAGTTTGGCGACAGGTAATTTAAAATTGTCTATAATTGGCCCATCCTCCGTTTGTATTTGACCTTTACTGAATGTTAGAGTCTCACATATTAGAAATACACCAAACCTTTAACCCAACTGTAATTTTGGCTTTTGAGAACGTCCGGAAAGTTGATAACTGTTGGGAGACCGTGATAAATATTAATTATCATTACGTTTATTATAATTATAATAACATACATTGTACTTGTACATTTACCTTTCGGTATTAGGCCTTAATCAATTTATCTGGAGACTGACTATTTTTGGTACTAGTATTAACTTATAACACAGTTAAACAGCTCAACATGTTTTTTTTACAGTTTTTCAAACTTTATTTAATTTAATAATCACTATATTCTCATAACTATTCAAACTCTTAAAAAGTAAAAATATATCACCTGTCCATCATAACCCCTATGTTAAATATTTAATGTACTGATATCACATGCTGTAACCGGAATTGGAGAAGACTTATACATTATAGGCTTAATCCTGTTGTTTAATCCTTTTGTAAATCGATAAAATATCTTGAATTGAATTGAAAGAAGGGTTTTTTGATAGAAATTTCGGATACACTAAAGAAGCTCCAAATGTTCTTTTCATTATCACACGATCATTACAAACCAGTTTTGTTGTTTCAATCTGTTATGGTATAGAACTTTCATAGTTTAATTCAATTGAATCCAAGGAAGGAATATACTACCAGACACATCAAACAAATGGACAAAAATCGTTCATTTAAGGCAGCAGTAAAAAAAAGGCGGAAGTCCGGCCCTTTATTGCTAGATAAATTTGTATAAGCGACGGCCGCCAGATAATATCTTTTCACAGTTTTGAACTTTAGGGCTTCCGTAAAAATAGCCTGTTAGTTAACATACATTTTAAGACTTGTATTCACTCTTGTCAAAATTATTTTTAAAGTGACATCCTATCTGCTAAAACATTTCTCTGTGATCATTGGGCTCTGTACAGGTATTGGGTATGTTTGTACGTTGATTGTGATTTCATGTCTAATGTCTTAACTTTAACTGTGATGTTTAGACAGATAGAATATAAACTTATGTCGTAATAAGTTCATTTTTCTTAATAGTCTACATAGATGACGCTAAGTTATTCGGTGACATACCCAGTAGCCAGAGAGCTTTAAAGGTAAAGCTTGTCTACACAGATTGCTTATATAACTGTGATTCCTGTCAATTTATCTAAGATTATTTATTCATGTACTTGGTTAAAGTAAGTATATTATTTGTACTGTGTGGATGATGTCATGTAAAATGGATGATTATGACTTTTTACCTGGAATAAACATTATTATTATCACTATCAAAATAATGCTTTATTAATGGAGTTTGTCATTATATAGCTTTTGTTTAGATGTTTGAAGACCAAAGTACCATCTATTGCCAGACCTATTTAAAGATATGATTATCAGTTTAGAGATGTTTTGTTCTTTGGGTTTTGTTTCTTTCAACGAAAATGTTTAAACTTTTTTAATATTTATGTTTTATAATATCGCTTTGATAAGTTCGACTCCCTATTTTATGAATCAAATTTCAAATTTATTACTATTACTTCTTTCAATACATCAGGGAATCTCCGGATTAATATGTATGTATACATTGAACAAAATTCATGCTAAAGATAAATTAACACGTTTTGTGACGTCTTATTTTCGAGAAACATAGGACCCTTTTCCTGTCGTGTCCGAAATCCCTATTGGGAAGGAGGTTCCTTATTTGTGGAAAGTAAGACGTCACAAAACTAGTTACATGTAATTTGTTTTTAGCATTACACATCTATTGGAGTGTGTTCCGGAGATTACATGATGTGTTAAAAGAAGTACGTGTGCATGTAATATGACGTCAGTCGTTTTACAAGTTTCCTGTACATGTACATCAGCAGTGTGTTCAGGTCTAGATAGACCCTTGTTGCCGGTCAGTGTTTACAGCCTTCTACTCGCTTACACCGACTTGATATCGGCAGGAAATATCAAATCTGAAAACACATCTATCCTGCATGGTGAACCTGCAAATGTTTATGCAGGCCTTGCAATGCTTTGTCAAGGCCCGCCTAAAAGCAACATCATATTACAAGGTCGTTTATGCAGACCTTGCAAGGCTTTGTCAAGGCCCGCCTGAAAGCAACATCATATTACTAGACCGTTTACACGAATACGGCCCAGGAGTTCAGTGGCCGTAACCATTGCTGCCTCGATGACAACAGCAACGTACTGATTAAAACATTGTCTTGTCAAGTTTTGTTTAGAATTCCTGTATGTTTGTATCAACAGCAATGGCTGTATGTGATGAAATGATGTGTCGAGTGAAAATATATCTGGACATTAATTCCATTTTGTATTTACCCTTTGAGTAAAGTGTTTTTTTCACTCTGAATTTTAACAATGCTTTTGAGTAGCGTATTAAGTGTGACCACGAGTCTTCTTGGACACAGATATATTAAACCAAACAATTCTATTACATTTATTAATAATAAAACCCGTTTAAAGACTTGAATAATTGATTATACCACGCGCGCCCGCAGATGACAAGAGACCAAATTTCATATTTGCAATTAAGAACATTATTCCATAGTTAACTCCTAGATCTGAAGAGGTTTCAGTGCAACCAAAGTGCATATAAATATAAATATCATTATTCACAACCTATGTTGCCATTAGTGTATATACACCAAATGCTAAAGACCGACTAAGTTTGTTTGTTTGGTGTAAAACGTACTCGCAACAGCCAGGGTCTTATGAGGACGGGTGCCCAGGGAGACACAACAGTCAGGGTCATACGAGGACGGATGCCACGGGATCCCGGAGACACCACCGGATAGGGAAAGTATATAGAAAATAAAGTAAACAGGAAAAAATTGGAAACGAAAAAGATCCAAAATGTTACAATCGGGAAGCAGATCAATTTTGGTGTCTTCCATGTCCTCTTCGAAGAAGACACGGAAGAAAACCCCTTATTCTGCATGGGGCTCAACATCAGTCACCTCTTACTAGCATGCAGTGGGATGCAGCAGGCCTATTCTACACACATTACAATCAAGTCAACAACATGTCTAGTCAGTATTTCAGGATTACAGGTGACGGATGGGCCTTCTCCGTCTGACCAAATTATTTGGTGATGAAATGCATCACAGACAATACCTTTTTAGAAGGGAAATGCTATTCCAGGTTTTTATGAATAACAATATGAGGTATGTTTAATATTAATTCGATTCAATTTAAACATATCATAACTACTGAGTAAGTAAAGAAAACAGAGATATGAGAACAACTGTAATGAATTAATAGAACAATTTGACAACATGATGTATCTATCCATTCCTATAATTCAAACAGTATCAAAATATTTTCAAAGGGAAAAAAAGGAAAATCGTTCCCAAGCAAACATTACATTTTTCGATAGTTATTAACAAAAATGACACGTAAAATCAAACGGATCTGCTGAAGATTGCCGTTCATTGACAAACCCTAAAAGCTTGTGTTGCTTTCCCGTTCGGTTGTTTGTCAGCCTGAGCCAATTTAGCTTACCTATTGTGGTTTTTCTTGAGTAAACACACCCTTGATGAACCCCATTACCTATCTTTTAAAGCTTTTATCTGCTCCAGAAGTGTATTAATAAGGATATATACACAATTATTCAACCATGTCGATTTTTAGATTTATTCAATACTATTTTCAATGAAAACTCTTGGTTAACTAAAATGACGCATGATTTGCCGACACAGCAGACATGCGCATATTGTTCAATGAAGGCACCAATCTTGTCCCGAGTGCCACACACCAAAGAGCTATATGAATATCCCGTCATTCTGATGTTTGCTTGTATTTGGGTGTATCAAAAGTAAGCACCGAAGCACGAATCAATCTTAGGGAGTGTCATTTGTTTGATATTACTTCAGGATGTTTGAGCCCAGTGATCAAATCTATAACACTTGGTTTGGTTTGTTTGTGGTTTACGCCCTATTAACAGCTATGGTCATTTAAGGAAGTTCCAGGTTTTGGTGATGGAGGAAAGCCTGAGTTCCCGGAGAATAAACACCGACCTACGGCCAGGACCTGGCGACTGCCCCACGTAGGCCTCGAACTGGCGACCCAGTGGTGGAAGGCTATTGGTAGCTGAATGTCAGACGCCTTAACCACTTGGCCTCCGCGGCCCTATAACACAACATTGTGGTCTTATCTGTTATCAAGATAGAGAATGTAGTTTATCACATGTTCAACACTGCCATTATGATCTATTACGAGCTGAATGCGCGTTGTTTTATTTCACGTTTTCCACAGAGAAAGTGTAAGAAACGTATTGGTTAATTGGCGGTTAACATTCACCTAAACTATTACAAGCCAAATGCACCCCCTGATCCAACTTGACAACATCTCACTTTTGGCTTTAATGTTGAACGTTCGTTTTCATATACAATACTTACACCAATTAGAGTACTTCCTTGACAAATACAATGTGTACACCAACAAACAATACAA